ATGTTTGGTGTGACGGGGATTCGAACCCACGACCCTCAGACTGTGAGTCGAGTGCCTTAACCACCTGGCCATGCCGGGCTAACTCAATGCTTCTATCTATTAAGCAAACTAACTCTATCCTGATGAAACTTTGTAAAATGGACGGCAACTTCCTGTAGTAGAGATACAAATGTAGAGGACGACGTTTCGAAAGTCTTCCGCCTTTCGTCTTCAAGTCCTGTTACCACCATATATTTTGAAAAAATGTGGTTGGTTCTGTAAAGGTCTGTTCAGAATGATAATGTTGCGATCCTTAACCTAATGTGGGCGAATATCGAGTGTCACTTTCTTACTTGCTGTGGTTTGTTAGTGTATATTGACAAAAAGTCATGATATCTAATCAAAAACACCTTAGGTGTGAAAAAAGGTATGGCCAAAAAAAAGAAAGGATTAGGTGTGCGACTTAAATGAATGAAAGCAAAACTGGCGGCCAAACTGGTAGCTACACTTATAGCATTGATAGCAATTTTACAGCAAATATTCATTCATTATTTAGCCAGATCGCGTTTGCTGTTCAACTTGGGGCATGATGGTGGGTGCAACAAAATAGAGGTGTTGCTAGAAAAGTAGTTTTCAATTTGTCGTTGCCATCTAAAAAGCCACTTCGCCCCACACATCCAATGGCTTCAGAGTTCATAGCGATAAATTTTTGGTTCGATTTTTTTTTATAGGCATAGCTTATATAGGCCTTTGAGTACAGTTTTGCGCCTGACAGAAACCAACCCCGTTCCCTTGAAATACTGGTTGAAAGTTGGCGTGTTATAAGTCTGGATCAACCATGGTTTCATTATCTAGTAGTTATAATTAATACAGTCTTGGACAAAATGTTTGCAAACTGTTCTATATTAATGCTATTGTCTATATTCATGGAGTAGTTATTGAGTAAATGCCTGAGTAGTAACAGAGAAGGTGGCATATGATTGGACAAAAATCTACGAATTACTATTCTGTTCTGTATAAACTGTTTTGAGCATTTGGTCGTCGAAGCACACATACAAACCTGTTTTGAATAAAAGAGTGTGATTTTGGTATAATCTTTTTCGAAACAGATCAATATTTTGTTCAGAAAATTTCTCTGTACTTGGCGTAGAGTCATGCGTCGCCACGTGTAACAAGTTATAGGGCGTCAAATTGTGTGAAGGAAACGGACATTACCAAAACTGTAGAATACCCCCAGTGAACTGTATCCAGAATCCTCAAACGTAATGAGATTGCATGAAACGTTTTTCCAGGAAAGCCTACTGGTAGATGCCAAAAACCAAAGCCCGATATGACCGTATTTTGATGAGGTTAACACATCAAAGTTTTGCAACACCTTACGATAATAATAGCATGAATACATTCATTCCAGGGTATCCAGAAGAACGGTGAATAGAAGACTGACAAAACAAGCTTATTTCACAAGAAGAGTTATCTGCAAACCGATATTAACCAGAATTCACCGCCATCACCGTGCTACTTGGACAGGAAAAGCATGCCAACTTACAGTTAGGACATTGGGGACATGTAATTCTTTTAGATGAGTCCTGTTTCTGGCTTGTCAAAGCTGTTGGTAGAATTTGTGTTAGTCGTTCACCTGGAGAACAAATGAAGGAAGACTGTCTTTCCCGCAAAGAACATACAGGAGGTGGTGCAGTACATGTTTGAGCAGCTACTAATAATAGTGGAAAAAATAATTTTCATATCTTCTAGGGAAACGTCAGCGACTCCCCCAGTAGGTATGACGTGGAGACGATATCTCTGGTATATGCTAGGGCAAGGTTTGTCAATAACTTGGTGTTCCAGGATGACAATGTGTGTATTGTATAGGATTATTTTGACCAGGAGGATGTCACAAGATTGCCATGGCCAGCAAAGTTTCCGGATTGTAATTCCATTGAGAACTGTTGGGCACACTGACGTGGCATGCCGTCGATGGTTATTGATGTAATAAACTGTGATTTCATCCCAACTTGTCATTAGAAGGCGATGCAACTCAGGTACAGTGGTTAGCAGTTTTCCGACTCGACTTGCGGATGTTATTAGAGTACTGAACTTTTAATATGAACTGATATTCGGTTACAGACGTTATTTATAATAATTTGATGTTATATTTTGTCATCATCTATGTTTTGGTAAGGTTTTGTTGTGATAGGTAAAACGTTGAATTACACATCTTTCTACAGGTGTCTGAAAAATTGATTGCTGTTCAAACACATCGTTCATGATGTCCACAGAACCTGTCTCATTATATAAATTACATATGTAGATATTTAATATAACTTGCATTTCTCTGTTTGACAGTGCTAAGTATATTTGCATTCCAACTTAATAATAATGATTTTATTTATTACAAAATATGCAAAGATTTTGACCATGACCGTAGTACGGGGAAAAATTCGTGTTTCTTAATTGACCTATTCAAGTATGAGTTCTGAATGAATTTGATGGCCGTGAGGGGCGTCTCAATGAGTACGAAGTTAAAACCTAAATTAGTTACACCTCTTCCACAACACTTGATACACATCATATACCTCTTGTACAAAAGATACCTTGAGCCTAATGGTCTGACAAACCGATTGACTTATTTAGCAAGAGGTTCCCCAGTGGCACAGCGGCATGTCTGCGGACTTAAAACGCTAGAAATCGGGTTTCGATACCCGTGGTTGGCAGAGCACAGATAGCCCATTGTGTAGCTTTGTGCTTAACTTCAAACAAACAAATATTTAGCACCAGATCTAGAGATGCATTCAAAATGGGGAGCATTTATTAAAACACAACGATATTGTTCCCAGGTCCCTACTTAACAGGGTGACGGTATCATTACTCTAAGTGTCTATAAACAAAATAAAACATTCATGCACGAAACCTTATCATATAAACACTTCTGTCTGAGATGGGGTTCTGAAGAATGCCAAATCTATTCCCCAAATACCTTTCCCCTTGCAATGCATAGTACTATCTATCCCCATCTCTCCCTTACGAATATGGTGATGTCGTCCGTAGTTTTCTATTTCTAATTTCATGTTTCCATAGTATGATAAAGTTTAAAAAGCTTTCCATGCACGCACACACGCTACTCTTTGAATTATATAAATTTGTTCCATTGTGGTTGTGTCTGATCAGTGCTTGTTAAGTACATGCACAAGTTTGTAATTCTATTAATCAAGAGTGTTACATGTGTGTTGAAGACGCATTTTCTTTAGAGTACACAGTCTTTAATAAAAGCACAATATCTTAACAGGCCTGGGCAGCTCGACAAATATGGGCAAATTTTACTTACTACCTAAAACAGGCGACAGTTTTACTGTGCAACTATATAATAAAAATAAAAGAACAGCTAACGATTAGACTATTCTTGTTTCAGAAACATAACAATATATTTCTTTGCTTTACAGTTATATGTAAGGAGGCTATTAAAACAATATTGCATTTTAATAATAATATTGTGTTTAGCGTTTATATTATTGTTTATTTATCACAGTAAACTAAAGAATAATCTCCAACAAATTATACAAAGAGTAGATTTATTGCAAATTAAGACGAGGATATTTTCCCCAGTAATTTATTTTTAATGTAATAAAACTAATAAGTAGTTAAGTCAATAAAACAACTTCAGCGGTGCAGGTTGAATGTAAACCAAATGGGCAGGTATTTAATTTTGTTCATTTGAATTTGTTAATTCCGCAAATTTAGCACCAATCTTAACCTATTTATTGCACTAACACATAATTTTACATTTTTACTTTATTGTCTGCTTCTGTTTTTCTACTGATACTGATTGCGACTAAATGTACACCGTGACAAATCCATGAATGATAAAATCAGGAACATTCCAGAATTACAAAGACCTTGAAAACTATTTACTTTCACAGTGTTCAAGATCATATTATTGTTTTTCTTAAATCGAGGTTTCTATGCTATTGTACATTAGGATTAGTTTCGTACTACAGACAAATGTGGAACGCTTATATGCGCCGTGAACGAAGCTTTTATTTTATTTTTACTTCAAGAGTGTATTCCTCAAAACCGCTCTAATAGAAAGAAGAAGTCAAACAAATGCAGCAAGAACTATTAATGTTTTCCCTCTCTAAAGAAAGTCCCAGCATTTACAGTTGAATGGATTTTTTTAAATTCGAAACATGGGATTTAAAATAGAAAATCAAATTGTTTCTTTACACGATATTGAATAAACCAGTGACAGAGGTGGTAGTAAAATTAAACCCATTCCCTTCAGAAAGAAACTGCAACCCTCTTTCCTTGTAGCATATTTCACTACCTGACTAGCCTTGGATTGGACGACTTCGCTAGGTATTGACGTCACTACGCCAGTAACAGGCCGGTTCCCAGAAAGCAGAATCTCTAGCCGAAAAAATACTTGATTCAGATCGGCTGTAGTTCTTAATAAACTCGCAGGTAAGCTAGTTGTTGTTTCTCTCGTAAGTTATAATTTATGTCTGGTACTGCTTTCATCATTTGTTCTGTTCACAGTCTGGATGAGTGACTGATGGACTGGCTTAGCTTCTTCCTCTAATTAGGATTACAAGCGAGCATGGAATGTTTTCCTAAAAAATCTGTAGAAACCCCTGACGTTCAGATCTTCCATCACGCGCTTTCTTCTCCTGTTGTTTTCTCCATTGTAAGGTCCAGTCCAGAAAAGTGTCGGTCATCTCCAGTGGACAGTCCGGTATCGCAACGCAGTGAGGACGAAGTATCAACAAAGAGTCTTGACTCACACGACCTTTCGGCTGACCACCTTTTGTCAGACTACCAAAAAGAAAAATTCAGTGATAATGCTTCAACGAAACTTTCTTCTGACTGTGTTTGCTATTTTCCCCACAAAAATAACAATTTGAACGTTAACGACTGTATCAGAATTCCTAGTGACAGTAATTCCGTCGTGCACGGCTCTAGTAATTTCGTAAAACCAAGCAAGAACCGAGGTGGACTACCAGCTTCTCACACCGTTACTCGAAAGCGCCGAATAGCCGCTAACGCTCGTGAACGACGCCGAATGCATACTCTTAATATCGCATTCGACCGCCTTCGTGAAGTTGTACCGTCAATCGGAAACGACAAAAAACTATCGAAATACGATACTCTTCAAATGGCTCAAAGTTACATCACCGCTCTAAGTGAATTGCTCAATAAATAATTGTACAGAATGTTCGAAAAAAGAAAACAGAGTCTCTGTTGAGTATATGGAAAATATTTTATTTTCATCAATTTTTTAGGTCTTTCCAGCTACATTTCAAGAATACCGAAACCATGGGAACAGCTAAGTTATCACATTCTTAGATTTTTATAATCGGCATAAAAGTTGAAAAGAAAGAATAACTTTTGAAATGCTTTTATTTTGGAAGATTCATTACAATTTATACTAGTTTGAAGAGTACTAATATTTCTCTAGTTGGACATTTATACAGATTATAGAATATTAACATTTGGATCAGAAAACTATCTCAGTGAAGTTTAATTTAGTGCTTTTTTATGGTTTAGAGCTGTAAGTAAGTTACAGGATCTTTTTATCAGATAAAGTAAATTTTATAAACCTGATAAGGTCCATTTTATCAGATAAATTAAAATGTTTAAAACACTGATATCATTTTTGTTGCTTATGCTCAAATATTCATTTTACAGTAAACATCGTATTCCATAGTGGGATAACAGATTATTTAATAATATTTCGTTTTATTGATGTCATGCGTCCGGTTACTGAATCACGGCTAGAATTTTATAGATAAGTACGAAAATGCAAGAATCTAGTTATGTGTGTGTGTAATTATCCCAATTAATTTGTTTTTAAATAACATACCTAAGTTTTTCATTTACATATATATATAAACATAGCAGTAATTATCCCAACTAGTTTGTTAACAGACACCATTTCTCAGTTTATCATCTACATATATATGTTACACTGTTGCAATTATACAAACTAGTGTGTTAGTAAAACTATTTCTTAGTTTAACATATACATATATATATATACACTGCAAAAAGTATCCCAACTAGTTTGCTAATACACTCCATACGTTAGTTTATCATTATTCACGTTTACATTTAATTTATAGAATTCCTTCAATATAAAATATCTTTTAAAACAAAGAGCACAAAAAGGCCCTACCGATATGTATAGCTATATCTATTACGATATGACGTGGACAACGTGTTAAAATGAATTTTTTTACAAAGCAAATGGTGAGTTTGCTTGACAAAATAACAATTTAATTTATTTAGCAGAAACTTTTGATTAACAATTCGAACCTTTTTTTTTTATAACAGCGGATCAATGTTTTGATATTGATGAAAAAACAATAATTATATTATTATTTCCATGCAAGAATTTCATATTTAGTAACATGTTTATAGAATATAATTCATACACTTAAAGGCATTCTATAAACAAACAAAAATAGCAAAGCATATTTATAGCGGTAACGTTTGGCTGCATAGGAATGTATCATGTTCTAGTTTCAAAGGAGATGAAATATCTATAATAGCTGGAAAGAGTTTATGATTTTGACACTCCAAACGTTTACATTGTTGGTTCCTATTTTGGCGTGAGCTAATGATGTCTGTCGTCTGTTACTAGAATTTCAAATCGATGCAAGTACTAAAAGTAAAACTATTTTATTGTATTACACAAAAGTGGAGGACCAGGGAACCTAAATATTAGGCCGTCAAGAAATTAATGTTGTTGTTTTTTTTAGATAAAAAACCCGAACAGCTTATATATCAAAACAAAACATTTATTAAATGAAATAGTCTCCATTCTATCGATGATGGTTTTCCATCTTACAATCAGGTTGTTAGTGTCCTGACTAAAGAAATCACTTGGCTTTGAAGCAAAAAAACATGTCGATGTCCTCTTTAACACCTTCCACATTTGCATACGTTTTCCCATTAAGATGGTGTTGCAGCGAACGAAAAAGATGGTAATCCGATGGTGTCATATCTGGAAAATGTGATGGGTGGGGGAGAACTTCCTAACCCAACTCCATAATCTTGTATTACGTCAAACGTGACACATGTGGACGTGCATTGTCGTGGAGAAGAAGAACACCTTTCCGACTGACGAGTGAAGGGCGTTTCTGATGAAGGGCTTGATTTAAATGTTCCAGTTGCTGACTATAGATCTCTGCATTGACAGTTCGCTGTGGATTGAGGAGTTCGAAATAAATTACTCCTTTGATGTCCCACTAAATGCAAATCATTACTTTCTGAGGATGGAATCCAGGTTTTGGAGTCGGAAGTGGTTTTTGTCCAGGACTGAGCCATTGTTTTTGGCGTTTAATATTCGCATAGAGAATCAATTTTTCATTACCAGTGACAAT